CTTGGCTCCAGCCTCATCCCAAACCTAAGGGTCATTGTGGGAAATACTGTTCCTCAGCGCCTGCCTCAAACCCAAACCCTTCCTAGGAGAAGACAATCACCTTCCTCTTGTTGGGCTACCACCCCAAACTGGATCCCTGCCCCAGGCCAAAAGTTTCTCACAGGAGTTTAGCTCCTAGTGGACAGAGATTATGGAGCTAACTTCCTGTGTGTATTCCAAGTACCACCTGTTCCATTCCTGTATTCTGCACACTTAACTTCTTTACTTGTCCTTCCTCATTGGTCACTTGCTCTACTCAGCACTTAAAGACAATCACGTGCTTCAATTTCCTGGTTGGTTGAACTTCTTCGTTAACATTGCAGCTTCCTTAATTCCCCAACTAGACATTTTTAACACAGGGATGAATGAATGCCATGTTCTAAGCCCTCTACATGTTACCCAAATATTTGGAATTGACCCATGATTTGATAATATTGTCACCACTATGTTCAGTTGTTTAGTTCTGGAATATTCTGTTTAAATCCCTACTTTGCAAATGAGAACCTCTTTTTAATCAAAAGAGAAAATTTCCCTCAAATATTCTTATGCTAGTCCCCCCTACCCCCCAAACAAAAACCAACCAAACATAAAAGCATGAGTAGCCATGTGGCTGGGGGGTGAACCACATTATAGAAAATGTAAGTGTTTGTGTGTGACTTGGCTCTTGCAGACTGCATGACAAATCATTTTCCAGTCTCTCCAGAGCTCTTACTTCAGCTGAGAAATAAGGAGCAAGTTGTCATGGATTCTGATTCTTACTAGTAGTCTTCTAACCCATACTTCTTTGTAGATTCAGATTTTCAAAAATTCTCAAAATGAAATGCACTGTCATCATGGCCATTCTTCAGAAAGACCAAGTCTTGGTTTCTGCTTTTAAAGACTGTATTTAATGACCCGGAGTTAACTCTCCTAACAGTCTCCCACCAAGGTAATCTTTACGGAAGGGAACTTTCTGCTTACAGAGAGCACCTTTTTTTAATTTTAATTAAAAAAAATAACAATAGCAAGAGGAGTTCTTGTGGATATGGGATAAGCCTCCTCAAGCTGTCATGAAGGCCAGAACTCAATCCTGAGCCCAGGTGGTTGAGAACAATTCTTCTAGAAGCAGAGACATTAGCTTGCTCTTTTCTCTTGTAATTAATGGGGAGGCCTTGTATCTTTGTATTAGACCCTTTAATCCTAGTGTTGCTAAACGTTTTACAAACATTAATTAATTCAATTAAACTTCACACCACCACCTTGAGGCAGGTAATTCCTCCCTGGGACATCTCATCTTTGCTTGTTACAGTATTATGTACCAAGTATATATTAGTGCAGATTAGGATAATTAATAATAACAATCACCCTTTGAGTTTAGATCATGCTGGGAAGCTTTACAAATGTAAGATTTGTGCAGTGAGGACTGAGGGGGAGCCCCAGCCAGCTTAATACCAGTGATGACCAGACAGAACCGAGGTACCTTTTTCCAGTTCAACTGCATGCCGAGGATGTGTGACCTTGAACAGTTCTTTGTGACCTCTTTCTGAATCAGTTCCTATAGCTTCCAAACAAGGACAACAATATATATTACTCACCACCCTGCCTTACAGAGGTGTTGCAAGGAGGAATGTTGTAATATTCTGTGAGGTTGTCAGATGAAAGACAGAAATTAACATATGACGGAACATGACTGGACTTATCTTCACACCATCCAAATGGGCCAGGCAAGTGGAATACTGGCACCTTTATGACCTGGCAGAGAAACCAGTGCTGCCATTATCCCTACTTAGCAGCTATTAGAGGCTTCCAGAGGTTGAAGACTGCTCCCAGGATAAAGGAAGGCGAGGCAAGATACCAGATCGGTGAAGAGGTAGCTAATTACTTTTTCTTCCTTCTCTCCTTGCACTTTTCTGTCTTACTTGGCACAGAATTTTGAGAAGAAATGAGTGCTGAGAGAGAATCAGGGAATGGTGGAAACAACTTTCCCTCTTAGCCAATCCTCTCAGATCCAAGTGATCGATGCACTCTTAGTTTCCAGAATGGGCTTGGCAGACTTGCTCTCAGCCTTTCTGGTCAACTGTGTCTTTGCTAATCATTTCAGTTTATTCAGGACATCATTCTACCAACTTTTTCCGTTCCCAAAACCTCCCCAGCCCTACCTCCTTCCTTGTGTTTCCTTGGTCACTCTTTAGGGGACTTGTGTATGATTTAGGATTTTGGGGTTGACTTTGCTTCCACAGGAGATTTGACTATTGAAGATCTTTTCCCTCTCCACAAATTTAAGGACAAATAGCAATATAAATTATACAAAATAATGAGCATCATCCTGATATTCTAGAAGAAGCTTTATTCTTCATCAGCTCAGGTTGTGCAAACATTACACATTAGAACACGGTTGCTTTACCACATGCAGTTGTAGCTGCTCCTACAACACAGGCTGACAGAACAAACTATACATATTTATGTTATCATTGTTCATCATGTTAAGTCCAAACCCAATCCCGGTATTCAAAAACCTGCAGAGGGTGGCTTTATCTGTGTTTCTTTGTTTTCTTTTTTTCTGGGACAGGGTTACTCTGTGTAGCCGTCCTGGAACTAGCTCTTGTAGACCAGGCTGGCCTTGAACTCACAGAGGTCCGGCTGCCTCTGCCTCCCTAGTGCTGGGATTAAAGGCATGCACCACCACTGCTGGCATATCTGTGTCTCTTGTTACATCTTGTTCCCCTACATTTGTCTATGGACAGTGAAGCAGGAGAAAGTGACTCTGAACAAAATTCTGTGTTTCTCTGTATCATTTCTTGGTAGGGCTCTTTCCCATGGTCTTTCTCCCTGCCCCAGATCCCATATCTTTATTTACTGAATAATTTTCTGTCCATTTTATAGCTCTGTTTTAAATGCTTCCTCCACAGAGAGGCTCTTTGGGTGATAAAAGGTCAAATCACTTTGGATGTGCCAAGCAGACCTATAGAAACAATGCTGTCCTAGTAACAAGGATCATAGATTGAGAGAGCTTTGTCATTGTTGAGTTTAAGTGCTCATTTTGCCACTTGATAATTGTTTTATTTACACACATCACTTATTTTCTGCATCGAGGTTTCCTCATCTGCTGAGTGAGCATGGCCAGCATAATATTAACCATAGTGGATATTGTCCAGAATGCTTGGAATAGTAACCTCTCCATGGACATGCATGCTAAATGTGCTTTACTTCTGAATCTACTGTCTCTGGGTTCCTGTGGGCAGCTAATCAGGGCCAAGTGAAGGAAAGAGTGCCCATGAACTTGCAGACATAAGCAAAGCCTAGACTTGCAACAATAGTACCTTTGAGAGGCCTGAAGAAAATACTTCTCCACTGGAGAGCTTTCAGTTCTTTGGGCCATGAGTTTGATGCATATTGAAATGTTTCTTCTTCTTCTCCTCCTGCTCCTCCTCCTCATCCTTCTCCTACTTCTTTCACTCCAATTCTTTTTAGTGCTTGTAGGAATCTAACTTTCCCCTTACATTTGTCTTAAATATTAAGAACATTGTTGGGGTAAGATTGTAGTCAGTTTCTCCTGCAGCCCCAATCAGTTACTCACTTAACATCACAACTGGTAAGTTGCCAAGCGGATAAGGGTTCTGCTTGGAATGAAACAATCCTACTACTGCCAGTTCCATTGGAGGGGGTGGGGTTAAATACGGTCCACACCTGCCCATTAGCTCTGCCACTTACCCTATCAATTTGCCAAAGTTGAGATGCAATTGGAAATCTTTTTGTCTTATTATTTCCTTTGCTAAATGTATTAAATGGTTGCCTGTTGAAATACAAACTAGTGAATTGTGGGCAATATACAGAGATACACCATCACTAATTCTAGACTGTCTTCATTATCTTTAAAAAGAAACTTGTTATGTTTACCTTGTGATAAAATATTTTTATTAATTTTAAATTTATTTTACATCCCAATCAGTTTCCCCCTTCTCTCCTCCTGTTCCCTCCCCCATCCCCTCTAGCCCCACCCACTCCTCCTCTGTCTCCATGTGGCAAAATATTAATTTTACTTTATTATTTAATTGAATAATATGTTTTGGAAATTCCAAAAACTACACACTATACTTAAGTACACGCAAATATGTATATATACAATTACTGTTACAATAAATTTTCTTAGCTTGCTTTTATTTTTTAGATTTATCTTATCTTTATCATTTGCTCAGGATCAGTCTATCTGTCTGTCTTCTTCCTCATACACCTTTATCTCAGTCTGTAAGGGCTACCTGTGTTAAGTTTGAGACAATCAGTGCCATCTAGAAGGGTCAGCGAGTGGACAACAGTGCCCTTTACTGAACATCTTCCCAGGCCCCATTTCTCAAGACACATATCATCTTCACCTTCATTCAAGCAAATAAAGGTTGATGGAGTTTATGTAGCTTGCTACATCCCAAGGTGCCATCTGGTAAAACCCAAATTTGAAGCCAAGTCATCCAATTTTAAAGTACATGTCCTTAGCCACTGTGCTACTAACTGATGCTAAAACTCAACCGTTAGTCTAAAAACGGCCATGGCACTTGGTCAGTGCTGTCAGCACACTTTCACAGTTCGGTGTTTCCTCCCCTTGGCATTCCTGCCAGGTATTTCCAGGTTCTCCAAGTCAGTTCTTATAGGTCAAAGGTCACACAAGAAGACTGGCTCAGAGATGTATGACTGATACACCTCTTTCTGGGTTTCTCTACATCACACTGGGACTCTGTGGTTATCCCGGGCTTACGTCCAGCTTGCAGAACAAGAGCCTGCCACTTAGTGGACTTATTTGTCTATTTGAATTCTGACATTAGCTTGAGAATAACAAATGTGACCTGGTCATTTCATGCTACTATGCGAAAACCAATTTTTTCATGGCTTATGTTTAAATTAAAGGAATTATTGGGGGATGGCTGGAGAGATTGCTCAGTGGTGAAGACTACTTACTGCTTTTCCAGAGGACCTGGCTTTGATTCCCAACTCACACATGGCAGCTCACAATGATCTGCAATTACAGTTCTAGGAGATGGGGTGCCCTCCTCTGGCTGCTGAAGGCACCAGGTACACACATGGTGCATAGACTTATATGCAGGCAAAACACCTATACACATAAAGTAAAAATAAAGAAAAATCAAAGAAACAAAAAACAAACACTCCCACATTTTTGTCGTTTGATCACTTGAATATTTTTTTTTCTGGACATCTTTAAGAGTTAACCTGCAAACATTTGAGCTAAAAAAAAAAAAAAGACTGTCTGGAGTAGTTGATTATACTTTTATGTCTTCACTACATGTTTTTTAAGAAAAGCAAGCCTAATTCTATACACACATTAAGTAGAATATTTCTGCATGTGTGTGAAATTATATATATATATATATGTGTGTGTGTGTGTGTGTGTGTATATATATATATATATATATATATATATATATATATTATAAATATCTGTTAAGGTGGATTATGAATAATCTGTACTATTTTGCAAGCAAAACAAATGAGAATGGTACTGAACACCTATGAATTGGGGATTTCACTTAAGCAAACGAAAACCTTAGCTCTGTTAGCCTCCCCACACCCCAGTTCCTTTTCTGGGAATAAAGCAGCGACCTGGGAGTTCTTGAGCCTGCTTCTCCAGAAGGCCCTGCCAACTCCTCATTGTCCTGCTGGATTTGCAGTCAGATGCCTTAGGCTGGCAGGCTGTGGGCAGGCAATGAGTTCTTTTCCCTGTAAGTTGGGTACAAAAAGATCAGCATGGGAGCGGCTTCCTCGGAGACAGCTGCCTTGAGAGAATGAAGGAGCAGGGAGCAGCCAGAAATTCCTCCTGGCACAAAGTGCCCAGGGGGAGGAGTCCACTTGGTTAAGTATTGTCATTTGCTGAGAGAAGGTGTGTGCTCAAGAAGGAGTTTTTAACCTGGAGGATCTTTAACTCTTTCATTCAGTGGTCTGGAGGTGGCTCTGGAATTGACCTTGGAAGCGTCTGCAAGCAAGGGTTGGAGAGCAGGAGTGGATCGCCTTTCCATGGGGGACCACCTTGAAAAGGGCCAACATGCTTTGCTCAATGAAGGAGACGAGAACGAGATGGTAAGATTCTAGCCACATCCTGTTACCCTTCTTCCAGCCCCTCTTCTTTACCTTACACAAACATATACTCGTGAACACACTCACATACTTCACTGCATGTTGACTCTGGGATTAGACAAGAAGAGATAATATCCCAGCAACCCCCCTGTCCCATAAATGTAACTTCTGACAGCATGAGTTTGGTAGAATGCACATATTGTACTCATTTTTATCAAGATCGTTTTCATATGAAATAAAACAAAAGGGGAGAGGAGGAACACAGGGCTGCCTGTTTATTCATTCCCAAGTCTCTATCTGTATGCTAAGTTCCGTCCAGAACTCCGGTTTCAGCAGGTCCCCAAGGTGAGGTCTAGGGTACTCCCTGAAAGGAAGAACTGAACCCCAAAGCAGCCAGGCAAGGCAGCTGGTTTCTGGGTCTTTGACCCCTCTCCTCTCACAATCTTGCTATTCATCAGGGAAGAAACAAAGCAAAACTAACAACTATCAGACTACACACATTTCTTTTTACTTCAAAAAAATTTTACTGCTGTAGAGACTGGTTACAGAAAACTTTTGTGTAGTTCATTGTCTCTTTCATTTTCTAAGTCCTCCCGAAACTTGAGAACTGTAAGAAAATCAAAGATGATTCTATTCTGTTCTTGTTGAATTTACAGTGATATTTCTCAATTACAATGTAATCAAGAGAGAGTTAGAAATGTGCACTTCTATTTAGTAAGGTCTTTTTGCTAATTGTGTAAGCATAGCCTTTTATGCCAGTAATGATGCAATTAAAATATGAACATGTGACGCTCTCACTCTATAATAACGTTTTTATCTTCTTGGAATTAATATACAAATAACAAACTCGAAAGATATTTTATTTAAAATGTTTTCTTGGTTAATTGCTTGAGTCCTGACTACTAAATTCTTTGTTCTAAAACTGGTCTTTCAAGTTTAATCTGCTTACCTGTTTCTATAGCAACAACTTTTTTTTTTTTTTTTTTTTTTTTTTTTTGACATTCTGGAATAGATTCCATCTATCAAAGCTGAAAAAATTATAAAGAAATAAAGGGCACCTTAATTCAGATGGTTTTCTTCATTACTTTCTTATTTCTTTCAGACTTGACTATCAAGCAACAGTTGCTTTCAAGGACCTACCCAAATGTCAACAGAAATGACTTCCTGGCCTAATGTTGGCTTATGTCCCCTTCCCCTCCCAAGCATTTCCTTGAGAGATTGAAGTTGAGTCTTTATTTTCATCTTAAATGCTCTTAACAGAAGGCAGGGAATTCTTGTATACTCCCCTCCTTTCTCATTTGTAAACACTCACATTCTTCTCTTCTCTCCTCATCTTAACCACAATTTGTCTTTGAAATAACATTATGAATCACCTATATTCATGAAGACACCCTTCCTAGCCTAAAGCATGCTCCAGATGAAGCAACTTTGTTAGAGCACTGCCATTGGCATTTGGGGGTCAGCCCAGTTTGGTATGCAGCTGGAAGCCCAGTTGTACACCTTGGCTGGGAAAGGGACACTATCTATGTATGTTGGTGAGCAGTGATTTGGCCAGTAGGCTCCACAGAGGTGCAACATTAATATGCACCCAGCTCCTTGTCCTGTTGTGACTTCAGAAACCTGGCCACCTGCCTGGTGCTGCATCATTTTTCTTACTGCACTGTTCCTCACTCGTGGCAGTAAACTTCAAAAGTTGTCTATCATTTACCATATATATCTGTCTGTCTGCTATCTATCTATCATCTATCTATCATCAATTATCTGTCTATCATATACTTTTATTCTGGGTTCTGCTTTACAAAGTATTTTCATGGCCATTTAGTTTTCACCATAACTCTGGGAGGTCAATGGGAATAGCAATGTACAAGGAATTATTTGCCTAAGGTTGCCTCAGCCAGTAAGCCCAAGAGCTGGAGTATCACATAGGCTGGTTGAAGATGGTAGTTCTGTGTCTTTGGATCTGCCCACAGTCCATGGATACCTTTTCAGATTTTACTGGGTACACTGCGCTCAAATAGAACATATTGTTTCTCCTAATAAAGTAAGGGTAAGGAGAATGACTGATCTTAGATCCCCTAAGGTCTGCTGTTTTATAGAATTTGTATTTGTTGAGTAGATGTCTCCTTTAACTCATAGGTGAATCCCCTTTAGAAAGCCAAGATTGTCTAAAAATGTGACATAAAAAATTGTTTACAGATTCTCCATAAATGCCATGAGTATGGACCTTTCCAATTGTAATCCCTCCAATGATAGAAATAGCCTCAAATTTCAAGGGAAACTAACGAGTGTAGCTCACATGTAAAAGAAGAGCATGAATATTCACAGGCTGAGAATAGATGGAATTATCTTTCAGTCCAGAATCAAAGAAGTAGGGACTAAAGAGCAATTGTAGGTGACCTGAAGGCAATACTTCCAAGTGCAAATAAAACACTAAAAGACAGAAGACCCTGTTGGAGGGCAGGAAAGTGACCTCAAGCAAGGAGCTTTAGCCAGGCACCGCTCAAAAGGCCTCAGAAAGATGTCTAGTGTGCACACTCTGGGCTTTGACTAGACATTTGCCCTCTCAAGCCCCAGTTTCCCAACCTATAAAAACAGGAGTGGTCTTTTTTACCCTACCTGCCTCACAGGGTCTTAGGAGGATTAGCTGAGAGCATCCATGTGGAAATGTTTTGAGAAGGAATGATTTTGGGGACTCATGAGCTGTTCCTGTCTAAACAAAGGCAGGAGTGGCTCACACCTATACAATTAAGCAATTGAATAAACAAAGGCCCACAACAATCAAGTCACTTTTTCTATTAAAATATATATTTCTGTTTCCTGACAGGACCACTTATAATTGAAGAGGCTGCTATCCCTTATGCCTTCCTTTTAGGGCTCATTGAGGGATGGTTCCTTTTTGTGACATGAGGGTTATTAGGTTTCCTGCGAGTTCATGTCCCCAAGCATTCCATTGTTGTACATTTCTCTTTTGAAATGACTTGAAATATTATTGTCCTTTTCCTCATATGTGACTGACAGGAATACCATTTAACTGATCAACTGTTGATCACATTAATGAAATCACTCTTTCTGGAGAAATGTTTTATTCTAGCAAAATTTAGAAAAGCAATGTCCCCTGATTTTGCTCCTAGGTTTTTATCAAGTAAAGGAACAAACACTTAGTTGTTTTTTCTGATTTTAAAGATGACATATGCTTGTTGTGAAATGACTGAGATAAGAACTCAGGTCTGAAGAACAAAGTAGATAGGATCCATTAGTTTACATCTGAATACCATTACAATTGTCATGTTGGTGACTCTTTTTTTCCAGGCTCATACAATGCATTCACAAAACCATATAATTCTAATGACTGTAGTATACTTTAATGCTATATCTATAGTCTTCAAATTCTGTACATACATTCCTGTATTATGCAAATGTTGGGTAATGAGCTACTGTATACCTGTACATCCTAGGAGAGCACATGGGTGCACTGAGATGAACAATGTTGATAAGATTTCTTCTATGGAAGTCTGTATGTAACTGCAGCATGCCTCCCATCCTGACCCTGCCAACACATCCTTGAACATACTGTTTTATCTACTTAGTTCCTTTCTCCCTGTCACATGCATACAGATACAATTTGGATATTACCTATTGTTTCTCCTGTGCATTGTGCCCAAATAAAACCAACCACAATGTATCCTTAAGGGTTGCATATAGATTCTCATAAATATACATTTTTAAATAGAGAATGGAATCTGTTCTCTTTTGAAGACTACCTCTTTTTGTTAACAGCTAAAGGTGTATGGTGGACAGTTCTCCTTTTGACACAACACTGCATGGCCATTTAAGTATTTAACTTGTGTTTTCATGAATAGTTCCCCATCTCTCAAGTTGTTTACTTGTTATTCCTTGGCTGTGATGGACAACTTTGGGTACTTTTGGACATTCTTCAGATTTTTTCCTGAGGACAAATGCTCAAAGATAACAATGTAACACTAAAGGCCATGTACAATTTAACTTTTGACTGACACACAATACTCAGTTCTCTTTAAAAGTTGTGTTGTGAAATTTATACTCTGAGCAGCAATCTCTTCTTATGTGTATTTCCTCTCTCCTCCCTTCTCTCCTCAACTCTTACCTTTTAACTTTGGCTCATTTACTCTAGGAAAATGATATTTGATAACTGTATTAGTTTTACATTTCCCTGACCAGGTTAAACATGTTAACTGGCATTTATGTTTTCCACCTAGCACCTCTTACTTTTGTTACTAATGTTACTAGTGCTACATTAAACATTTAACCTAAAATGTACAGTTCCCCCCCAAGATAATGGGATTCTTTTGTTTTGCTTTCACCATGATTCATGCTACAAACAAGTGGGTGATGTCAGAGGGTGTATATGGGAAAGGGAAAAGGTGCCCACAAAGACAATGCTTTTGGTGATATGCTGGCAAATATTTAACATGATTAATTATGTTAAGTTTGAGAAACTGAAGCCTAGTGAATATGGAAATGCAGGAGACACCTTTTCAACTTCCATGTCATTTCTGAGTGCCTGGCAAGATGCTAGTATTGCAAGTCACCTGGAGTGGTAGCAGGTGGTATGTGGGCTGAGCCACCTTGGCAGTCACTGTGTCATCGCCATGCGTCGGGCTATTTGTCCTCACCAATCTTTGGCTCACTCTGGGAGCTGATGTTTCTGTTTCTTCTCTAACACCCTGCGGCAAAAGCCCCCCCCCCAACTTCACAGCCACTTACTTATTATGCTTCATGAGCACCTCTGAGGCGCTTGCCAATGTTAACTAGTGGGCTTGCAGATTGCATAGTGGAGGAATTGTGTTCAGGCTGAGACATTTTGTCAGTTGAAATGTTCAGGAAGCTGGGCCCCTGGCCAAGCCTGATGTCTTTATTCTCAATTCATCGCTGCAGAACTCCCATGTAGTGAACCCATCTTTGATAGAAACTTGTGAGGAGTGGGATTTAATCATTTCTAGAGACCAGGGATCCTGCCGGGTCAC